TATTCCTTTTCAGTGGTGTAACAAAGGAAATGTAAATTATGTCTGACCCACATATGGGGCTAACAATACTAGAATAAATCAAAATCTTTTTCCAGGTATGGAATTGGGCAAAATTGAATAAATGGTTTCTTGTTTCAACTTTACAAATCTATGACATTCTTATACTCCCCTCAATTCAATTCTTTCTCTTTCTCCCTACTGTGAGCAATAATCACACCATTTATCACCCATTTTTCCTTTCTCATCAAATTTTCTCTATTTCTATAGGCCTCCATGTTTGACTTTGTTTTAACTTGAAAAAGGATTCACAGTTTAGAATTGTACAGTAGATGAATTTCTTACTTCCTTTAATGCAGAGATGGCAATTGTGCCTACATGGTTATATTCTAGGGTAATGTAAATATAATGGTAGTATATGGATGAGATAGTAAATATATTAATGTGCTATATTATCAATGGGATGTAATATGCAGGATTATTTCTCCTTACATATTAAAATATAACTTTGAAGGTACTTTTGAATCTTTAAATCCTGTGTCTCTAGTCTCTGATGTCTGTGCATTCAAGTAAAATTAAAATCATTGTTTCATAGAATTCTGTTCTAGAAAAAGATATATTTTTCTATGAAAATTTGTACACATTTTGGAGAATCTTTTATAATATTTTTTTCATAGGAAATATAAGCTGTGAATACATTGGATGAGTAAAAATAATCCAAGGAGGAAAGAGGTTTGTAATAGATCCTGATCTGTTTTGGAGTCAATAGAAATCCTTGGGACTGTCAGGGTTTCCACAGGGGGTGGAAAATGGACAACAGAGTGAGCAGACAAGGCTTTGCTCTTCTGTTCTACCTCTTCGTCACCCAGAGACTTATTCTTCTGTCTAAATGGAGACCTGATACAAAATTTTATTTGAGTCAACTTTCCAAACATTTTACACGTTTGAAAACATTGAGCTAGTGAATATAAAATAGCTTTACAAATCTTCAGATTAGAGCCTTCATCTTCCTGGGTGGCCTCTGCTCCTGCCTGATGCCTAGCTCAGGCATCAGACATTTGTAGAATGCAGGCTCAGCAACAGGACTTTGCTCTTTGTCTTTTGACCTGGTAGGGACTTTGTTCCTGAGATCCTGTTTTTATTTTCATTGCTTTATTTTTATTTTTATTTTTAAAATTTAACAGGCTTCTTTCAAACAGGATTGGGTCCCTAAAATCATATTTTCATGATATGACTGTTTCTTGGCCATAATGGGATGTACGATGTTAAATCTGTAAATGGGATTGCATGACACTGACTGTGGGAAGTGTAGGAATACATGTACTAGAAAGCTGTCCCTCATGTATACATGCATCCCTATCAGAACTGAAGTTTACAGTTGCTTTGAACAGCTCCAGGATGCAACATTCACCTTCACAGTTTAGATTTTTTAGAGTTCTTATGACCTTATGCCACTAGATGGCAGTAAAATATTTTATTTCTAAGAAGGCAAACTTCTAATTAGCACAAGTTGCACAGGGTGGGTTCCTACTACCAAGCACAGTATGGATTGATTTTAAAAAGTTGATAATTGTTCATTAAGTGAATGGATGCCCTGCATGCCAATTAAAAACAGCTGTGCAAAATTGTCATAAATGAAATGAAGTGAATTATTCTGATTTAATATTAGAATAAGATTGTGATGGCCTAAATTTTTCGAAGTCTTGTTTCAGTCCACATTCCCTTGCCTGCGAAAGTCTGAAATCATTCTGTATCTATACCTTGGCAAAATATTCCGAGAAGTGAGAAACTGGCACATGTTGGCATGGATACCTAACATCCACACCGTTTCCCTCTGACAAGTTATTAACAGAAATGCTTCACTGAAACTGATGGGCTTTGCTTACTGAGGAAGCATTTGCTGCCAAAATATTTCTTTTCTGTAACAGGGCCAACTGAAATGGTCGATTTTGGTTCTTGCTTTAATCTCCTTTACTTCTTTATTCAATGAGATGTAAATTTCACAGACTTGGCTTATAGAGATCATCAAACATTTACTAAGTACTTATATTATTCTTTCTACCCCCTTTCTCCTATTTCTAACCTAATCCAGCTCTCATTCTTTTATGCGTCTCTCTCAAAGGATTTTAAACTGACTCTATGTCTCTAGCTCTTCTTTTCTCCCTCCAGTGTGTCAAATGCTGATAAATTATTATTTTTTTATGTATGGCCCTGTGACTTTTGATGATTTACCTCACCTGTTAATTTGGTGTGTGGAGTGGTTCTAGAATCACCTTGAAGTCTAGTATGTCTTAAATCTCTGTAGGTTTGGTTTACTTTCTATATACTTGTTTTTGTTTTTGTTTTTTCTGTGTGTGTGTGTGTGTGTGTGTGTGTGTGTGAATTCAGGAAGATTTGAGAGTGATTCTGCCACTGGCACCATCTCCCCAAAATCCTCTCAATTATAGTATTTTTAATTAAATTCAAGTATGTAATATATGTCTACTTATAAATACAGCATTTATAGTGTAGCCGTTTTACATCTATTGAAATTTTATGCCTATCGATTGATATTTCTATCAATAGCTATCCTGCATTCTTGATGCATGAAATCAGAATATCGAGAAATATATATAAAAAAATAAAGTTAGTTTTGACTCTTAGTAATTTATGATTGATAGACTTGTAGGTGATTTTTTAAACCTCTCTTAATTGAGTCTTTTTAGTTAATAGAAATACATAGACATACATATTTTAAATATGCAAATCAGAATCAATATTTAGATAGTCTTATCCTGGAAAACTTTGGCAATTGGTTAGCACATCTATGGCTAAGAAAATAAAAGCTGCGTTTTTTTTTTTTTTTTTTTTTGAGACTGGAGTGCAATGGTGCAATCTCGGCTTACTGCAACCTCCGCCTCCTAGGTTCAAGCAATTCTCCTGATTCAGCCTCCCAAGTAGCAGGTGCATGCCGCCACACCCGGCCAATTTTTTCTTTTTTTTTTTTTAATAGCTGATCGCAAACTCCTGAGCTCAGGCAATCTGCCCTACTCGGCCTCCCAAAGTGATAGAATTACAGGTGTGAGCTACCGCACCCGGTCATGAAAGACTTTCTTATGCCTGGTCAGTCATATACAAAGGGGAAAAAATAAAGAGAGAAGAAATGAGGAACAAAGTAAAATGAAAAACTTTACAAGAAAAGCATAATACCATTACAAAACAATTTAAAACATAATATAATTTTATTCAATGAACACAGCTTAATAATTCATTTGAACTTGATGCTTGGCACTTTCTCTTTTGAATGATACTTAATGACAAAGATGATGTTTCTTTTTTTATATATCAAACAGTGTTTGGTATGGCTATTAATAATGATCAAAGTATCTTTATATTATAAATCTGCTTTATCAATTTTTAATTATTATAATCAACTTACATACAGGTTAGTGAAGGTTTGCCTATTTTTCAGGCAATAAATAGATTCTATAATCTTGAATCCTAAAGTAGTTGTAGAGCTGAAAACCCACGAGAAGTGAAAGTGAATCAGCCACATGTGGAGAAGTATATATGGGCCACTTTCTTGGCTGACATTGTGGTCATTACACAGGCTAAAGTGAATCGTTACAGAAATACGTAAGTTCCTCTCGGAGAAAAAGTAGCAAATAGAGAAACTAAATGTTTACATGAGCAAATAAAATGAGGTAGTACAAATATGTTTAATTCTTTAATCTGTGCCACAATAAATCCTGCCTTCATTAGATATATACAGAAGTGGAGTTAAAACGTTGTATTTAGAGTCTGATGAAAATCTAAAGAACCAAAAACAAAAATGAAATAAAATGTTAACCTTAGAAAATGGGGCTAAGGGTGGAGGAATTTTATATTTTATTTTGTTTTACAGAATTCTGTATTGTTAGGAATTTTTTACATATGCATGAGTTATTATAGTGACAAAATAAATGTTCACTGACGATTATCAGATGTTAGCTCTACAACAGTATATCAGGTTGTTTTATTATGAAGTATATCTTTTAAAATATCTTTCCTCTTCCATTCTGATACAATTCAATGGTGTTTTTATTTAAGTTTATTTTTTTAAGCCATTCAAAATCAAATTGATAGTGGCATAACTTTTTAAAGCCACTGTATTTTTCAAAAAGTTTTCCTTTCAAAAGAAATTATCTACTCTCTACTCAGAAGACTGCATTGCAATTTTAAATAGTCAAACCAATTCACTAGTCACATCTCTAATATTTACCATGCTTCCCACCAATAAGCAAAATATGGAAATACGTACAGGCACTAACCAGTTGAATTATTTTGTGGTGATCCAATCAGTTTAGCCATCTTGAAATCAATGGCTGCTCATGACACAACTGATTGAGCGACAGTGATCAGTGTTGATGGTGAAGTGTCAGGAATGATTGAATTGGCTGTATTGCAGGTTATTTTAGCTGCCTATGAGGGAATTATTTCAGGCAGTAAAACTACAGACACAGTCTTATTGGCAATTAGATTTGGGGCAGTACAACTAATATTGTCATTCCCATTAGCTACTTTAAATTATCCATTCCTTTACAACCTTAAGGATGTTGTTTTAAACACAGCATGTTCTCCTGGAAAAAAAGAAGGTGGTTTTCTGTTTAAATTGAATGGTCATTTTGATTAGAGCACTGGTGTTTACCTGTTTAAAGCAATTATAGAAAACACACATTCTATTGCAGATATTGTAGTCTTAGCAGTCAAGAAACTACTGTGACCTTCAAGAATCAAAAAAACAAAAAGACCAATAAAAAAGGGAAAATACATTTTATATGAGAATCCAAGAACTATCAAGGTACTGACAATATTTTTTTTAATATGAAAAGCTCTATAACCTTCCTATGATTACTCATCACTAAAATTTAGCTGATACCTGCTCCTCATCCAAGACGAACTTTTATACAGGCTTCCATATCTGCTGTATACACATCTCATCTAGTTCACATACACTTTGAAAATGTAGTAAAAGTACTTCTTACCTTCTGTCTTGAAGGGAAGTTGACTCTATGCTGTTATGTAGCCAGAACCTGGGAGGAGAAAGTGATGAAACAAGAATTAAAATTGTTTTGATTCACCCGCAACCTAAGACGGCAAAATCCTGAATTTTATCAAAATAGTAAACGATTGACTTACTCTAGGAAAAATCATATGTCACAATATAGAAGTGTAGTTTATATTTTCAAATAGTAACATGCCACATTATAATAAATACATTTTCTTTGCCATCTTTTATTTTATTTTCCATTACCACGAAATGCAACTATAAGTCCTATGAAAAGAGAAGTCACATCTTCAAGCAATTTCTTCAGTTTCTACTAGATGGAGCCAAAGTATAAAAAATATGTCCATGTTGAGCTACACATTCTAAGGAATCTTAAGCTGTTTCATTAGGGTAATAAAGCAATTGAAAGTTATAAGAAGCTAAGAGTTTATTTCTAAGGCCATTTAGTAGAATCATTTGAATTTGAATCATGATTCATTCACATACTTTTTTTGTGAAAATTTCTGTATATTTAAAACATAACATATTCTCATGGAATATTTCTAGGCTCATTTACAAATTATTGGTATTTTTCTCATATGTATATATTTTAAAGTCAGTAATAACCATTTGGAACATATACAACAAAACACAGTATACTCAATAATTTTTTTAGGTATTATTTTTATTTTTGTTCAGAAAAAGAAAAATGACCAGTGAAAGAAATGATGAAGTGTGCTACCAAATCAAAGAATCGTCTATAATAAGTTAAAAAGTTAAAGGTAAGGAAAAAATGTTAACATAATTTGCTTGAAATATTCAGTTACACGTTATTTTTTTTAATTGCTTTCTGTATCAGATTGCTAAATTTTCTATGTCATGACTAGCTAACAGTGTAGACTCCCCTTACTGTTCAGACAATTTCTGACTAGCTGAATGGGGAACCAAATAAATCCAAAACACAAAACAAAGCAAAAGAAAAGGAACAAACATTTTCTGTTTTACTTTTGCTATTTTAGCTACAATCTTATTTCAATATTTCGGAAAGTCACAAGAATTTTTGAATACACAAATAAAACTGAAAGTAAATTCCTTCTTTTTCTTGGGATATTTTTTAACTTCTTTCTAAGGATTCAAGCATACAAAATCAACCACAAAGAAAATGAATGTATTAATAATTCATTTAAATAATAGAATTTGTGCTTTCAAAAATGATATGTGTCAGTATATAAGTTATTTGCAACTTCATAACACTGTTAAACTTATTTCATGTACATGAAGGAGGCACTGATGGGGTCTTTGACAAACAATTGAACCCTAAGATGATGATGGCAGGAGGCTTCTTTGACTGAGTTGTTCATATTTATAAAATTTACTTTGTTAGTTATTTGGTGATTCCTCTTTTTCTCTGGCTAGATATTACGCATCTTCTCAGATAACGTAAAAAATAAAAAAATACCAGCAGTTGGAGTAATGAAACGTTTTCCCATAAACCAATTCTTTGCCATCCTTAAAACCAAATGTGTTAAATGAATAATTCTATTATTACAGATAATAGAATTCTACTAAATCAACCATTTGAGTAGTTTAGCAATGTATAAGCATGCCTTTTACAGACAAGCTAGGCCTATTGCTTTAGTCCCAAGAGTCTATAACATACAAGATCTGTTTACTGCACAAAACTGCAACTTACCAATATGATCAGGTTAGTCAAATAACAGCTGAGGTCAGGTTTAAAAAAGAACACAAATTTAAATATCTTTTTTTGGCATCGTGTTTAAAAACATCTAGTTGCTTTATTGATTTTTCTACTTCTTAATTGATTAAATCAAGATTGTGTTGTTATAGCCATAGAGACATTCAGGTAAAATAAATAGTAAATATAGTAGTAATTAGGTACCACATCAGTAGAGGAGCAAGGAAGAACCTGTGGTTTTTCAAAATGATTCAATATATATTAAAATTTATATTGGAATTTTAGAGAGTGAATTTGACTGCAGTAAATATTTGTAAAATATGTTAGTGAACTAATTATCAATCAGTTTTTCATTTGTGTGAGCAACTTGTGGAAATAAACTGGGATGTATTAAAGCAAAAAAACCCTTGACCAAACCAAAAAAAAAAAATTTTTTTTCAGGTTTATAAGTCTGGCAGGTTATCAGGATGATAAAGTCTAATAACTGCAAATAAATAAGTTTCTTCCAAAGAAATTAAAATTAAAACAGCTACAGCTATTATTGTAGCTCAGGCCAAAAAAAAAAGTAAGAAAATTCATAAAACCAGAGAGTTTATCAATAAAATTATATATTTTGCTTGAAACAACATAAGAATAACAAGTTAGAAAGAAAGCAAAGGAAGAAAAAGAGGATAGGGCACACAAGAGAGTATGTGCAACCAGAAGACAAAGAAAAAAGTGTAAAAAGTTGGAGGAACAATTTAAAACATATTATGTGTCTTGATTTTAATTAATTATTGAATGCCTATTTTCTTTACAAATATAAAATTTAGTTATAAATGTTTTCAAAGAAAATATTTATTATAAAATGCAACAGGTATGCTAACATTGCTATTGAACCACTAGCATATCTCTTTTTATTGTATTGGTCTTTGTTTTTCGTCTGGGATTAGAAGCTGTAATTTACCAAGTATTGCTCTCAAGTCACATTATTACATAGAGATTACACTTGACTTGTTTGTGTTTTTGTGTTGTTTGGTTTATTCTTAAAAACAAATTCCCACAACAAAGTACAGATTTATATATATGATAACTAGTTTGGACTTGTAGTCACCTATTCTTCACTAATAATCCTGAATTATATGTAACTACTGAAAAGAGTAGGTAAATAATCACAATGTACTAAAAGTAATTTCATTTTATTATACTTAAAAGAAGAAAAATATGCTATTTATATTAATATTGTATAGTTAACTATGATGAAGATGAAAGATATATAATAAAACTTACAGAACAAAAAAAAAAGTGACCCTTAGTTATTTGAAGAAGATATAATGCTGACTTTCTAATTTATTTATCAGAAAGAAAGTCTTAGTATCAGTTTATTACTATTAAAATAAGGATGTTTTAATTTTTTTGCATATAAACTAAAAATACACATTAGTTTTCGTGGTATCAGGAAGCACCTTTTCCTGTTCTAAAAAGCTTATATATTAGACAATTGAGAAAATTTTGTAATATTATCTGAAATTTTAGGGATTGGAATATAAACTTTGTTTTCTCCATGAAGGTTAAAAAAAAAAAGGTACAAAGTTAGTACTCATTATTGGGTGGGGAGAAAGTGGGTGACATTTTTATACCATAACTTTTTGTTTCATTTTGGAGGTCATATGTCTACCTAAAACACTTTAAAATATAACTGATATAAAAATAGATATAAAGCAATATTTTGAATGTTACATATTTTTATCCTGCACTGAGAGATTTTCCCTTACCCTGTTCCTTGTCTATAGATGACATGCTTAAAGTATTAAGGATAATCTATCAAAACACACATTTTGTTAAATATCTACTGAAGAGTTCAGTCTTGGAGTGCAGCCACAAATACCAGTAAGTAGAACAAAATAAATTCTTCCTGTTGCTGAACTCATTTAACAGTTTTATTTATCAGCTACTTAGCAGTCCCAGAAGTTTGTAGCTTGAAAATACATTAGTGATTACTTTGTCAGATCCATACGTTTTATTTCAGAAGACACTGAAGTCCAAGAACTTGTCTCTTAAATTTAAGCTTATATAATTAACTAGTAGTAAAGATAATCATCCTAAAATCTATTTCCACTGATTTCAGTTCTTATTCTTAAATCACTTTTGCCCAAATTTCAGGCAAACACTTACAATTGAAATGTTCATTATGGCAAATTTATATTTCTCTCAATAAAGGCATAAGATGTTTTCAAGTTTTGACAGGACTATGTGGTAAGTAATCATTGCCATGGAGAAATGTGAACTACGATCTTGAAGAACTTTGACCTCCATATTTTAGAAAAACTGGTTTTATGCTGGAAGCAAAAAGTGGAGATGGGTAAAAGCAGAAGTTTTACAAAGACTGTTTTTAAAAAGCAAAGATTAAATAAAAGTTATGCTTTCAGTAGAATTGATTGTAAAGATCTATTGAATGAGCAAATATCAGAGATGCTATAAACTCAGGTCACAGACTGATGGAGAATCATAGGATGTTTTACTATTGAACATGAACTTCCCACATAAAAAGAAGACTGCATAAAAAGGCAAAAAATGGGAGTTCATTTTGTTATCTGTGTTATCTTGTATAGACAATTTATCTAACACTAAAACAGATGCTGGGAGTGCTTTATTATTTCATAGAATATTAAGTTAAAGTGCTACATAATAGCCAAACACTTGCCTTCTAACCTTAACCAGTATTTCAGTTAAAAGATCAGTTTAGAATCTCATCACTAGATGGCATTGTTACACTTGAATACAGTTTAAATAATACAATGACCAAACGAGCTAGTTAAATTAGTAGACAATTATCCCGGTTCTCCTTTCCCTTTTATGTGTTGAAACTGGTTACTTAGCCTGCAGGATAAATTCTATAGGATGCCCCATTCAGTCAGGGCTGCTTTTTCACAAGCTCTCTCTTCCCAGCTTTCACCTCAATCTGTCATACAGATTTGACACCACATCGTTCCAACAGTACTCAGAAATGACATGTATATAATGTGGAATATTGTGCACATTTACAGCCGGGGCTCTTTCTCTTAAACATTGCTGGCTGTATCTTGGCTTCTGGATTCTGCCAAGCTCAGTGTTCTTCACTCTTCACATGTAAATGGATGCCTAACCCAAACTTTTATTATTATTATCTTGAAGCAAAACCAGAAAACAGCATATCTGATTTCTGTCATTTTTCTATTAGTATTTCCAAGTTTCCACTGAGCTTCCTGTAAGCTAATGAAGGGCTTGGGATATACAGGGCAATGCTAACACATAATATTTTTATGTTTCAGTTCCATTAATGCTGCTCACTAAAATCAAATTAAGTGACATTCTATTGAAAAAGGTTCTTGTTTACTTCTTTATTTATTTCCTTAAGGTCAAAAAGACCAGTTCAATAAGCCTAGCAACCCATTTTTGCCCCCAGAATAGGCCTTAGCTTTGTTTTCTTATGTTATCATAATCTAGCACTTTTCCTGTTCTAAGTGAAAACCCACTGAAGAAGCAAAAGCATTCCATTATGAGTGTTATCAAAAAGCAATACCATGCTATTTTTAAATGAATACAAATCCAAAATGCATTGTAAAGTGTACCCAGCCCACACTTAGGTGATCTCATCCACACACTCTGTGTGTGATTACTGTACATCACATCTACATATTTCAGAAGAAGTACAATGCATTGTGGGTGGTGATTTCTATTTACAAGAAGGCATGCTAGAAATACCCACACCACAAAGTGATATTTTTGTTTTATTAAAATAATAGGGCACAGTTGTTTTGGCAGACTGCAATACAGCTGTTGTATATACTTTCTGACTAGGTTTGTTACTTTATTCCTTTTCAAATGCCCTCCTCCATCCCCAAATCAGTACTTTCCCATGAATCTGGAAAACTAACTGTTTACATTCTTCTAACAGAAACCTTCTGAACACACACTTTCAATTTCTATGAAGAGAACATTAAAACCGCAGGACAGAGTGAGCAATAATATAAACCACCTAATTAATTAATAGTTCACAATAAGCTTAATTAATGAACTACATGTAAACATTACAGACCTTTTAAATCCACAAAACTAAGATTACACATGAAAATTTGATTTAGCTATGAATATGCACTAAGCAGAAGAATTTCTGCAAGAATTTATAATGCAAACTTCTGTTAGACTGCTGTCTAACGGGCAAGAGGAAACTGAAAAAAGGACTGGCTGAGTTAGTCTGCAATGATCAGTTACCTGAAGGAAAAGGCAGATCCTAGCAGCTACAATTCTCAACATTGAAAGTACTAAAATGTTCAGCAATAGAATTAATTACATACATTTAACAGATTTTAAATAACTTTCTTGACAAAGTACCTAGGGTCAAGATTTTTAAGCTCAAATTTGAATGTCTTTTTACCTTGTAAAATAATGTGTTATTAATTTATTCAGAAATTTATTCACATATCATACAGCTTACTAAGATGTTAAAAGCAAAACAATTTTCTCCAGCACAACATTTTCAAATAATTCCTCTTGTTTACCTTCTCATATTCCTTTTAATGCAATTAAAGATCACAAAGTAAAATGCTTCCTGATTCAGAATTTGTCTGTATTCAAATTTATATTTCCTGAGAGAGCACATGTAACTACTGAAACAGAATGAAAGAACCATTTTGATATTGTTTATTTGTATGGTTTTATAATTTATAATGTGGCTTAATGAATACTGATGTTGAAAATGAAACCCAGTTGTAATTCTACTAGCCAGTGTTCTGATCAACTTTTTAAATTTTACATGAAGCAAATTAAAGTTTTTTAGTACAGTATTCCCAAGTCCATTTATATACAGGTTATTTCTTGATATAATTTATAAGTATTCATTTTCTATGTAGAAAAAAACCTGAAGTTTTCTCTTTGAAGAAATAAAAGACAATCTACATAAAAACATTGGTCTGCTGAAAGATATTTCCATTGTTACTGTTCTGCCCTGAACGTCTTAAAGAACTGCTATGGATATATTTGAAGTTCCTACAGTGAAGATAGTCTACAGTGTATTTCTCAAATGGGCATCTCCTGAGCTTCCTCATTAGTGCTCTCCCTCCCTCTCTCTCTCTCTCTCTCTCTCTCTCTCTCTCTCTCTCTCTCACACACACTCACACACACACACACACACACACACACACACTCTTACATACAGACACTTAGACTCACATATACTGGCTTTAGCTCTTTACTTCTTTATCAATTTTAAATTTACCCCTGAAGCTCGAAGGAGATATACATTGCATGAAATCTTGTAAATAGAGCTATTTATATCAGCACCCTTAGGAAAAATAGAGTGCTTTCACATGGCATAGAAAAAGTTTACATGTAACATAATTTTCTTTGTTTTTTAATATAATGTTTAGTGTTAATGTCAATTTAACTTGGTTAAACTAATTTTGTCCATCACAGTGACACATTTTGAATCTTTTAAATATATTTTAAATGAGGAGCTGAAATAAACAACCCAGACCACCATTTATATTGTTTGATTATTAATTCTGTATTCAGTTCTCACAGAGTTTTTAAAAATAAATTCCTGATCCCAAATGATTCTGTTACAATTACCATAATAACCAATGGTCATTTTATTTGCAGTATATCTGTTTACAATTGTGTTTCAATATTGTCTTAAAGTAAGATGGTGTGCTTTAAGACAAATTCAAAAGAAAGTAGATGGCTTTAGAAATGTAGATTCTTTTAGCATGATTGTAAATTTTTTTTAAAATGTGTTGTCTTATAAATTACAGGGATTCATGTGTAAGCATTGTTCAGTTTTATTTGTATGAATTGCCTTGATGATGTTTTCCCTCAAAAAGAATTGGGTTAAGATAGACATGATCTTTAATTATAAGGCTTATAAATTTATTTCACTAAAAAACCTACAATGCGTTAATAGTGTTATTGATTTAATAAAACGAGTTCATTTTGCATTAGCACAAGGTTCTCTTGAGAGATAACTGGTGGGAAGTAAGTAGTTGCTTTGTAGGCACAAATGTCTGAGGGTGGGAAAGCACAGTGAAAGCATATTGGGACCAAAATTTGAAAACCTGGTTCCTATCTCTGCCATTTATATTATCTATGTCACCTTTGGAAAGCTTCTAGTATCACAGATATCTATTTTGCTCCTCTGTAAAATGATACTATCAAAACTTGCCTGGACTTTACTACTATGTAAGAGAATAATTATTTTTATAGTCAATTCTTATAAATTCAAGGTGATATTACCCTACACATCTTTCTGATAGGATAAATGCTTCTCCTGAATGTAAGAAGTTAGGTTTTATCTGCTTTAAAAATTTGGCAGTATTTAACAATCAGGTATACAATCTGGCAGTTTGCAAGGAGTATCTTCTCTTTTACACAAAAAATAATTTGACATTTTAGTAAAAATGGAAAGCATTTAGAATCTGAAGATCAAGGTGACAATAATTAGAGGTATTTTATTCTCAGGATACCTCACACATAATATATTTCTTTATAAAGAAATCTACATTTTTAAGGAAAATGTATACCTATATATCTACAAAATATGTGTACAGATATATTTATAGATAGACATAATACAGACACATACATACACACATGTAAAATCATCCTATCTCAATGAGATGGAGAAAACTGAAAATGACTGCTCTGGGATCAGATACTTAGTCTTCATTTTATTTCATTTTAAATATCAGATTTGAAATTAATCCAAGGACCACCATGGAACAGAAAAAATGTGTGTGTCAACATCATCTTTGAAAACTAAACTTTGCCAGGCACAAGTCCTATTTTAGTCCTCAATTCAATTTTATGCAGATAATGAGATTAATTTGCAGGCTTCATTTCAATATTGTCTTTATTTTTAAAAAGCCCATTGACGGTGTCAAAGATTTTGATTAGATAATTTGATCACATTTCTCAAGCCAGATACAAATTAAAGTTGGAGCTAAAACAGAAAATCTTACTGTTTACTATTCAGAACAATCTTCCTATTTCAGGAAATGGCAGAGCTCCAAAAGCCACATGTGTACAAATGAAAATTCATAACATGTTATTCAAACTCCAGTTGTATTTGTGCAATTTACTAATTAGATATGGTAAGTATCAGCACTGAAATATTATAGTAATAGCATTAAAAAGGCCAAAAAACTACTTTTCTTAGTTCACTTCTCTTTATGAATGACATAAAATTCTGTTTTGTAGCATAACATCTCTATATATCAAATATAAAATAAAACCTTAAAAGTGCAGTGAATGTTCTAACAGCAGAGCTTGTTTCTGTATGAGAAATGGAAATACTCTGATAAAAGACTATTTTAATTAAGATTGGTGATATCTGGAATAAATCAACTTAGTACCCATGTATACAAACTAATTTATTCTTCAAATCATGTGCATTATATGATTAAAATACCAAGTCATTTGACTTCATTGATCTCAACATGTAACCTTAAAAGAGAATTATTTATTCTCAGTTTGTCTCTACTTGTTGAAAATGTCTTTTCTTATCTCATTTACAGGATTATTTGGAATTGAATTTATTACATAAATATGTCAGCTATATATAGTTATGTACTGACAAAGAATTAAATTACAGGTTAATGGCATTAAAAATTAGAGAAAGTATGTGAGTGTGTAATTTTTGATAGGTACGAAAACTCTTCGATTTCCACAATTACCTTCCATAGGGTAGAACATTTTGCTATTAAAAATATCAAAGATTTAGTGTACCAGACATTGTAATAAGTGTTTTACATAAGCTTTCTAATTTAACCTCTTTCTATTATCTAATGAGACCATTCTGTTCTGACAATCCATTTTACAGATTTATGAAACCAAGGTTTACAAAAGTAAAATAACTTCCTCAGCTCACATATTATGGTGGTGCTAGAATTTGAACCCACATACATATGATTATAGAACCTATTGTTTTAGTTATCATAATACATATATTGCCTACTATTTTTAGTCTCAGCTATTTCTCATTAACAGAAGAAATTGACTGCTGACAGGGATCATACTTGTGTAAATATTTGTTAATGACCAAGATTTGTGAGTATGGTTTTCAAGGCTGACATTGTTAGCAGTCACATGTTTTATGCTTTTCAATGCTAAATTAAGTATCTTGAACGTGCAAATTTTAGGACTCTGGAGTTAGAACACATTTTTATGCTAGCTTAAACAGAAAACGCTTAATTCATTTTCAAAAAGGGATGAAAGGGAATAAATGTAATGGGCACCTACTGTCTCCCGCAGGTTCCCATGGCAGCATAGCAGGCTCAAGAGCCATCAGACAGTGAGAAAAAAAGATACACAGGATGGGAGGTGCTGGATCTCTTACATGGAATCACTTCAGAGAGAAAGCAGGAGCTGAGGCAGTGTGAAGTCTGGGAATCGAAGCAGAGGGACAGATCAGGAGAGAGTTGGGTAGGCTTCCACAGTACATTCCAGCCTCTTCACTTCTCATCTCCCTGACCCTACTTTAATGATCTGGGGACACACTTGCTCTCTGTGTTACACTTGCTACCCTCCTTCATCCATTTATTTCATTGTCTTTTTTCTGACTTTCTTCCCTACTAATTTCATCCATATGAAGATACTCTTGAAAGAGCCTATACGCACAAGTGCACACATTCTGCTTTTGAATCTCAACATAGCTTCTCATTGTATTCTGTTACACAATCTGAGAAAATCCATAGCATAGTGTTAACATATTATTATTTAAAAAAGAACAGATTCTTTCAGATATTTTAGAGACCATAGATTTATAGTGATTATATGTAGACAAAGCTAAAGAAATCTCATGCAAATTATTTGCATTGATAAACAATAAATACGTTTCTATAGATCAGTGAGCAAATATACACACACATACACACATGGTTCTAAACAGGTCCTATAATTGATAAACTGATCTTATAAATGCTCATCAAAATATATAATCTACAAATAGTTTTCAGCTTTGCTCAGTCTTTCTCTGACTACTCTGCTAGTTTACAAAGGCCAAAGCTGACTGATAGCAGAAGATTCTGCGTCTCTCAGTTCCGAGATCAGTTCAGAGGGCTCACCTCCAGCAAAATTACTTATTAGTCACACGCATATTTTGCTCTGCTTTGCTTGATGTCTTAAATATTGCTCAAGAAATCAAGGCCTAAATTAGCTAACTACATTAACAGAAAGCTATTTGTTTAATACTTGTGGAATTGTGTGTCTATCATTTCTTCTTTCATTCATATAGTCTTTCATTCACTCTTAATTCTCTCATTTAAAAAACATTAAACAAATAGTAACATAATATTGAACACTTTGTCATTCCCACTCTTGAGGAACTTATATTCTTGTTTATTATTTTTGTGAGTAGTCTGATTGTAATAACCACAAGGAGCATTGGCTAAAGATACAGATTTTCTTGCCTCTCCCTCAGAGATTCTGAGATGGGACCAGATAATCCTTATGCTTAGCCGTATTTGTGACGCAATGTGGTATAGTGATAAATGATTTGTTGCCCAAGTTAATGGAGGCTATGGTATTTTAAAAATGGATGTGTAAAAAACTCCTCTATCAAAAGTCATTTGAATTACTACTTTTCTGGTTTTAATAGAATCAATCTAAGAACTATAATACAATACTAATTTAAGCATACACAGGAAATCATAACTTGCAAGTTGTGATATCTACACAATGATGACAGGAAAATAAACACTTCAGTATAGCAAAGAGGGCTTAAGTATTAACTATTTAATTCATTGGACAGAATGTTTGGGATAACATCTTGAATGGCAGTAGAAAAAGGATACTAGACATATCTTGAATATATTTTTAAGAATTGGTGAACTCACATTATCAATATTGTTCTGAAATACCCTAACAATGTTAAATTTGGCATCGATCAAAATCAATATTTTTTTCAGAGATACACAATTCAAGATGTTTCTCAAGCTTACTAAATCACATTCTCTAGTGATGGAGAGTAAAAATAAGTATTTTTAAACAGGGATTTTTGATGCCCTCACCAGCCCCCTACTCCCACTCTTAGTTAAAAATCAATGTTCTCCTTGGGTAGAAAGGCACAGCAGTCCAGGGTAGAGAAGTGAAGTCTTCACTGACTGAAGAAAACAATATTAAATTATGAGAAAATGAGAATAGCTATTACTTTCTATACCTTTCATAATTCATATTCATTTTCATAGTATTGATGGAAAGAGATAACCGATGGCCTCATCACCATGAGTAAACGTTGTATGATCCACCCTCTGGGAGGAAAGCTCTGGTCATGTAAAACAATGACTAATTAATACATTTTATAGCACATTTCTGAATATGTTAAGATGTGTAGTCTTTAAACAGATAACTTTTCTTAGCTGAGTCAAACACTAATACTAGCTATGTTTAATATTATAGTTAATTTTGCCTCCCCCTGACACCCAGGATCTACCATTTGAAAATGCAAAAAGTAATTTTGGAGACAGCCAAATATAATGTTTTTTAAAATGCTATAAACCTTTTGCCAAAATATAGAATAACATTTTACCTTTTTAAGAAAAATATAACTCTAATCACATATCACTATATGACCCATAGAGGAAAGTTTCAACATATAGTTCAAGATATTTTCTTTTTAATGGAATGCACAAATAAAATAACATTTATTTAGATAAATTTATAATAACCAACTGTGAAATATTTTTCTTTCACATAATTTACCACGTGGATATTTCAGAGTTGACATAACCATTATAAGTCTTAATAGTTTTGAGACAATTAAATACAGTATTCTATATATTTTGTAAGTATGTGACACACAGTCTGTATGTTAGCACTCCAGAAAATGAGGAAATTAGAAAAGGTGATACCAGGAACTCTTCTAGTTTGAGAAAAGAAAATTGTAAACAACTGCTCTAGCTATATAATGGAAGGTTGAGAAATGATAAACAGACAGATAGGTATATGGATCTCTAATCTGTGATCATGGCTGAGGTGGCTTGGTCTAGCACCATTAGATAGAGAAGTTAAATAAATGAAATTTACTTTCCATATTCTTCTTGAGTGCCAGTGAGTGGGTGTTTTTAATCATATGTGAATTTTCAGAGTCCTTCTAAAACCATTACTAGAATGTGAGAGGTTAATCCCACCTCCTGACCTCGTAGAGCTGTGGGCCAGACCTTTGGAATTCTAAAAGGCAGTGAGGCTTCCTTCTTTCTGATTTAGTTTCACAGACTCCTGGGACATCAATTTTTAAAGGCCCAGTCAACAGATTACAGAAATCATTCAAGTTAAATTTTTATTAGGAAAAAAAATACTTTGCAAATGCCCTTTCCTATAAAAATACAAACTTAAAATATATTTAGCTGGAAGAAGTAGCAGAAGGTGTGGAGTAAAGAATTAAAGAGATTTTTGCAATGTGAATGTGCAGACCAATGATCAAATAGTTTTTCTAGTGGTTCTGTCAAACAATTAGTATCAATTACTATTGCCAAAGGCATCAAAATACATTAGAGATAATTGGCCAGAGCTCTTATAGAAAGAGTATTGAGGAGATAACTATTGACAATAAACATAAGCGCACTAAACAATGAGAAAACCTTCCATTAACTTTAATTTATAAAAAATAGGTTATATGTGTTGTACTTCAACCTATTTCTGAAGAGTTTACTACATTTTATGTCTAATGTTCTGAGAATTTGTATCTGAAAGTTAAATATATAAGGTTTATTTTGGACCTCAAAATTGCACTGTAGAAGTTATACCTTGATGTGAGGAAAAATGAGTTCTTGTTTAATGGAATTTTTTGTCTTTTACACAGAAAATATTTCAGCCTAACCATTTGGACCACATCCCTTCATTTACCATCCATTCTTCAATCCCCTGGAGTCGCGATGTCTAAAATCACACTCAGATCACAATATCTGAAGGGGTTAGTTCACTGAATGGGAGCTGCTCTGACAGTCTTACCGGATCAGAGTCTCAGGGTGGTGGAACAAACCACTTATGTGTGCTATTCTTGGTAAGTAAAGACATGTTAAGCTAGAATGTGTATGTGTGTTTGGGGTTTTTCTCTAATTGTGGTGAAGGATGTGCAGTGTTCTCTTTGCATTTGTAAGGCAGTTTGTTGAAGTCAGGGTTTTGGTCTGTGCTTCTTGATCAAAATAAAGCAAAATATCTGCAATAAGGATCAAACACACAACCCTAACATGTGATTGGACATGAAAGTAACTGAGCTGACCTAGGCTCAGACAAAACCAGGAGACAGCTGAACCTAAAACTCCTGAAGTTTAGAAAATTAACCCAATCCTTGCTTACAATTACATTGGTTTGGAAATCTTGCAGTATTTATGACAATAGACTTTTCATGTCAAAAATTGAAGCTCAGAAGAGAGGTGAACTTCCTAAAGTTTTACAAAAGTTCTTTTATCTGTTACTGTATAACACATCCCCCAAAAGGACCCAATCAGCCAGTTCAGGAGGATTTGTTCAACTGATAGCAGTGGACAGTTGTTAAGTCACTGAGGTAGCCTTATCAATTTAGCAACAATAATTATAAATGAGGCACATAAAATATAGGAAAATGCACATAGCAATACAGTGCAGTGACAGCAGGATTTTAAAAATATCTGGGCTTTCCAAGAGTGAGCACTAAATTTGTCTGACCTTGCCCTACTGCTACCTATTCCTTCCCCAGTCTTCTCCACCAAATTAAGTAGCAGTGACATTCTTCCATGGAGCAAGCAGAAGGATTGAGCCATTATTGACTCTTCTCTTTATCACACACCACATCCAACTCTATTAGCAATTCTTTTAAATATCTCTGAAATCCAACCAATTCTAACTTTCTCTCTACCACCAATTATCCCTCTCCTAGATTATTCCACCCTTAGCACCTGGTAGCCTACACTTAACACAGGAACTAGAATAACATCATTAACATATATCCCGGATCAATTCATACATTTATTCAAAATTCTCCAGAAGTTTATCATTTAAAAAAAAAAACCCAAATATTTCTCATGCCTTAAAAGAACCTATGTTATCTTCCCTTCCACTACCCACCACTGATGTCTGATCTCATCCCCAGCCACTGTTTCCATCCATCACTGCCTCCCCATCTCAGTGACTTCCTTGCTGTTTCTAGAGCATGAGAAGCAATCCTCCCACCTCAGGGCAAATCACTTACTGTCCTTTCTGCCCAGAACTTCTCCAATATATGCTATGCCTTGATATCTTACTTCCTTTATGCCTCTAATTCAACATTACCTTGTTTTGAGAGCCCTTTGCTAATCACACTAACTAAAGCAGTAAGCACCCAACTTCCTATCCTGTTATCCTGCTGTATTTTATTTTATAACACTTAGTATTATCTGGTATACTACATATTACTTGCTTATTT